TCACTGAAAAGAGGAAAAAGAGCCTGTTGTAACAATTGTGTGGTTCAGCTTTTTTTGAAGAGTTGGAGTGTGACCAGTGTTGATAAGTGGGGTACTAGCTCACACTCCTCATCTGACACATGTTTTTGAAACACACACGTATGTACACACACACACACAAACAGTCTGCTCAGTGGCTGGCAAACGGCCCCATGGGGGTCCAACCAGACACCATCACAGAAGGTGAATTCAAAGTGTCTGAATAACTTACCCATCAGTATAACCCATCAAATGAGCTGTCACAATCAAGGCACAATAAGAGAGATTTGGACATTTAGTTACAGAGCTGTTAGGTGAACTCTTAAACATGCAAGTCTTGTCTCAGCATTCTAAACTATTTAATTTTATGCAAAAAAGTACTTATACTCTGTTCAAATATTGTAAATGCTTCTACAGAATTACTGCTTGAGACATTTGAATAGACAGTTGCATGTTAGTTTTAAATGGGTGATTCATTTCATTTAACTAGCGTGATAAAACCACAAGGTCCTCTTTTTTAAGATATGCCTTCATCATAAACAAAGGCCTCTGTATTTGTCATCTGTGCAGCAAACAGTTTATTTCATCCACTTTTTTTAATATGGTCCCTTTTAGAGATACACCATGATTTAAAAGTGCCAGGAAGATGTTGTTGCATGCAGATATTGCCCTTTCACACTTATCTGGAACCAGTTCACAGTTTCCACAACATTCATTTACCCCTTTAAAGAAAAAAAGCACAAAAGAGAGTTCAGAGACTAGCAGAGAGGATATTTGAAAACCAGGAACCAGGAAGAGGTTCTCAGTATGTTGACTTGGGCATTATCAGTTGTATTATAATTGTAAATATGGGTTTGTATTTGCATGAGACAGTTGAACTTGATGCAGTCCTGTCCTGTCTCCATTGTGCCCTTGAAAAATGTACAGGTAGGCTCAGGTTATTTCGTACAGAGTTACAATATTATGTACAGAGTTAGCGTCTGTACATAATTTGGCCATAAATTATGCCCAATGCTATAATTTAAATTAGACTATAGACAACACTGTAGTAACCAAAGGCCATTTTATGTTGTCTTTGCGGAATGTGTTTTCTTGAGAGCAGAGAGGAAAGACAGAGAGGGAGCAGGAGAAGAACATAAGAAGACCCAGGGATCTCCGCAGAACAAAATATTATGTAGTCTTTTCTCAAATCAGGCAGCAACCTTACAGAGAATACCAAGATGAATCAGTCCAGCAGGTCAGAGTATGTTGTTTAGTTAAAAGAGGTCAATGATTATGTCACAATTCCAGAACAAAATACTATTATCTTTGTTTGAATTAGTCTGCAATTATTATATTAAAATAGTATTTGACTTATATTTTGTATAATGTAATAAATGCGTCACAGCTACAAATAGTTTACAAAGATAGAGTGTTGAATAGGATACACGGTAGGGCTGTGCGATTAATCGAAATCATCATAAAATCGCGATTTGAGCTTGTGCGATTTCTAAATCGCTTTATAGCACGATTTTCCGCGCCCCCGACCTCCCGCAGTATGCTATCCGAACCAATCAGAATGCAGCGCGCCTAAATGGAGCACAAGAACAGAACAGACCGGGCGGGCATACAAACGTAACCCCAGGTTCACAAACGCCATCTGTGGTGCGTATTTTTTCCGCGCCCATGTTAACGGATCAGAGCGTTCACACTGCACGCGATTGCGGTCCGGCAGTGCGCTCCAGGAGCGGTGCGTCTGCAGCAGTCATGCTGCGATCGTTTCCGTACGGAGTCTATAGGCCCGGGTATACTTCACTCTCCGCGTTCCATTCTGTCTCACGCACA